TCATATTTACTATAATGACCTATTATGTGTATCAGTACCTGGAAAAGTTCCCACTTACCATAGCGATGACCAGGCATAATGGATCCATTAATATTACAATACCTCTATAGGATTCACATACCCTTTATAACCTGCAAGCAGACTCTATCTAATACTTTCACCTTGAGATAAAGAAGACTGTCCTCGCAGGGAGATATCTTTACTTTACCTCAACAACCGTCTCCGATTCAATTAGTCTTGATAAAAATAACACGTTTATAATAATTTTAGTGACAACACAAATCCTATAATGAATATAAAAACATGATGAATGAATTGTTATCGTGCAGTAAATCTTGATTCGATTAACTACGGGATTGGAAATTGCGTGATGACTTCCATTGAGTATTGATTAGTAAGATGAGAGTAGTGAATTGACTAAGACTTCCCTTTCTTGTCCAACTTACTAATATTTCAGTGATTACGACGCAGGGAGACGTCTTTAGGGGTGAATAAGAGTGGTAAGTTCCATTGTTGAATTCTTGTTTTCTCACGTATATTTTGCGTGAGTCAGACAGTAAAAACAGAAGTGTTTCTGTCTCGTTTGCTCAATCGATACCGTTTTCATATTATTCGGCTAAGTAGTCCATAAAATATATGAGATATAGAAAAACAGTTTTCAACTACGCCAATTTTAATTGGTACAATGACACTACTGTGTAAGCTTTAACCTTAGACCTGTAGGCACTGCATTTTAGTTTCATTTAGCAAAAGTGGTATCTCGTGTATTCATGTTTAATCGCTTAAATCGATTATCTTTTACTTGATATAATAATTTCAAAAATCATCAAGCTCACAGTATTATGATCGAATCAGTTCCGTCCCATGTCTTGTAAAAAATAGGCGTTTTTTCATCATGTATCGCGTTTTAAGTTTCTTGAAAGAATCGTCCGATTTCGATCCCGTCAGGTGGTCTGACATTTTCTCAATGTTTGTGGTTTTACAAGCACTACCTTCCAAATCATCTATCGATCATTAGTCATGAACACTTTGCGCTGCAACGAACATCATTCACTCTAAGATCACTGAAAAAAGGACAAAACTTATTTGATTTGCATGTAAAGTGTACAGTCCTTAGCAGATTGGAACTCTATCAGGCAAACCTCACTACCTCGGTAATCTATTTTTAATGGTAAAACATCGTGCCGGTGAACACACACTGAACGAGCCTCTAATATCTCATCCTATCTCCCAGACACTGGTCGTAGGCCCCGAGGGCCAAGGGTGTTCAGTTTGCCTTTTGCTGTAATCTCCAGTTACTAATCATGATCACCGTTTAAGTACACCATAGGTTAATTAGAATATACCAGTAAATCAAGTGCACGAAATGATCTGGGTTTTTCCTGGAGAAAAGCCAATCGACTGGTTACCAAACGTTAATGAATTTACTGTCTACGTCTCAAAAGAAAGCGTCAAATAGGCCATTCGTTCTAAACACACAGGGGTCTGGAGGGGGTGCGGTGGGGGGAGGGCTGTCAGTGAAAAAAAAGACAGCCCGAGGCTTTCGATCATTTAATTTCTTTCCATTTAATTTCTTTTTTCTTTTATTCATTCGATGATTTGCTTTTAAAGATGAGCCAAAATCTCATAACTCCAATCAGGCTCCAATCAATCTATTTTCTGGTGATTATATAGAAATTTGAAAATGTTTCAAATATTTTAAATACTTTTAAAAACTTCCGTGATCCGCTTTCATACCTGGTCATTTCCGCCGTCATACAAATACTTCCGGTATTTTTCACTTCTTAGGATCTCCAAGTTGTTACGTCATCAATTTAATCATCTTTGGTTTTCCTTGTTCTCAGTCGGTTTCACATGTGGGACAATAGTTTATTTATAAGGTATCGGAGAAGCTCGCATATCAGTACTTTAACTAACTTTTGCTCTTTGCTCTGTCTTAAAGTTGTGTAATAAGCGAGCATGGTTCAGTATCATGGTGATTCGTTTAGCTTACCAACTGTACATGCGCAGTAGGTCTTTATGATAATTCGGGAATTCTCAATTTGTTGCTACGTCTGCATATGAAATTTATTATAACTGTTCAGGCACGTGTGCTCGTTTGTTTATAAGAATTTGAAAGACAGGGTGGTTAGACTGGGGATGTACTAAGACAGAGCCGCGCTCATAAACCAAGTATCTAAGCGGTATGATGCACTACATTTTACCGACCCACATGCTAATAGTCACGTAGAACAAGCACTGTATGGATATCTGCCAAGGATTAGAGAAGGATTTACTATGTTAACGGCCAGTGTTGATTTCGCAATGATTTCTTTTACTTTCAAACGACTTTGGTAAATTGATCTATCCATTTTGGGCGATTTTCCCAGTTTAGAATGTTTCTTGATAAAGAGGTAAAAGGCAACKTTTTATGTAGCCATTTTATGTGATACCTGAAGGCCCATATGGAATASCCATCCATGTCGCTAACTTTATCTAAATACAAAGACAGTTCCTGTTGAGACCTAATCCTAAACCAACACAAATCGAGCAAGTTAAAGGATGAAAATGCTCATAAAGACRGTAAATACAATGGTAAATAGGCAATTATAAATCAAACATGTTTGTAAAACAATTCCGTGACAATGTTTTGTTAAGCCCTTGGGGGGTCTGTTGCTTTATCCATAAACTAGGTGAGAATCATTACTCCATGAAAATTACAATGTGATAGTTTATTYAAGAACAGAGCTTTGACTCCTAATATAGACATTTTTATAACCAAAATAACAAAGGGCAATGTGCGATGGCAAAGCATGRCGGCCAATGTAATTGCAATTTACTAAGTCAGCTAAAATAAACCAAAAAATCCTTTTTTTTGCTTTCTTTGCAAAAAGTCAAGTATTCAAAGAAAATACAAAGAAAAGCGGACAATATTTAGAGAATGTTTGTCAAAGCATGCGAGGACTGCATCTCCCAGCATGCTTTGCTGTCGAAAATGGCGTCGTTTCTCATGAGACGCTTTGTTCAAAGTTTAACTCGGGACGTTCGGTTCTGAAAAGTAAGCTACTTTTTTTTATTTTTTTTTTAAAGCAAGATTGCGGCCTGATGGTGACCAAGAAAATATTCTTTACAGAACGGAAGCAATTTAGGTCGATGTAATACAAAAGAGACTGGCTAAAATCCAGTGTTTCAAATTGAGACGGCGTAGTGCGGCGCATCATTTCATAACTAATGTCGGATGATGCGGTTCTGCTCCAAATTCTTGTAATAAAAACAGATCAATAACAAGCCGGCATTTTCTCACGGCAGCCTATCGGATACAGGCCCACCATCGATGTCACCCCTCACGGCTATGAAATGAAGTTTTCAAATGAGTCAGCTTCCAGGAATCTTGTTCCTGCTGTTCCTGGACAAATTGTAGAGTGACGCATACGTTTTTAGAATTGTTGTTGTGATAATTCGAGCCATAACCAAATGCATATGTGAAAATCTAAGAACATTGGTACCCGATATCTACACATACCATAGGGTAGGTGTTTTTGTCTTGATGACCACTAAAAAGCAAATCACGAACAACTTAAGTATTTTTATGTTGACATTGTAGTGAATTAGTAAGGTACAAAAACAAAACAGGCCATAGAACGAGACGTGATATTCATGGCGAAAGAAGGCCGACCTGACCGCGGTTTTCTAAAGTGAACTTGAATGTCTCACTATTGAGTAGTGTATTTTAACAACGGGACGCTTCTCAAGAACAAACCATTCATAAAATRTTTTCATTATCTTGGGTTAACTGAGTTATAAACACACTTCGGTCATACTGTACTTTCCTTCATAGAAAAGGGAGGCTGGCGGTAAACTTGAAAAGTTTTAAAGGTATTCATCTTGATGATTGACGCCCTAGCAGCACTGCCCTCAGGCAACAACCGCATTGCCCTCAGGGTCGGCCACCTGATATAATTATTTTCCAATAGACTAGTAGTTAAATATTTCCACAGAAACCCAAATTATTTTTCCTGCTAGTGTAAAATTGTTTTTGTCTGTGGGATCTTGTTGAAAATCAACCTGACCTCTGATTAACGCGTGTGACGTCTCGATGCGACAACACTGATGATCTTACACTGAGCTTTCAACAAATTCGTGGGTAGTCCATCGGCTAAACATCACCTATTAAAAACCTTTCAAATATTTTACTTTTTAGACTTTCTGGATGTGGAAATACAATGGTTAGCACTATGTGAGCTATGTGATAATCAATCCCAAGCCAAGCCACGGGCGGGTGTTAAATTGCTGAGCGCGCAGGATTGTGACTTCCGTATAACGAGTGAGCAATCCCACATCCGTTCGTGCTTGTATTGATTAACTAGAGATATCCTTCGCACAAGATTGAATCTTTCACCAGTTTGTAGTGACCGAGAGTTCAAGATAGTGACACTCTTGCTTTACGCTATTTTTGTGAATATCGCACACGTTACAGTACTCTGGTCCTTTGCTGTGACCCAGTTTTAAGCTGCTTGTCCCGTCCCACTTCCTACTGATAACCTTCTTGTTCTGGGTTGAAAGAAAGTTGTGCGTTTTTGCAAGCGAGGAGAGGTAATCGATCTATAGCAGAAATAACTGACGATTGAAAGTAAGTGAATGTCACCATGATTAGATTAAGATCGTGAGCTAATGTAGCTGACTCATAAATTGCTGTGTTAACAGGTTATATATAGACCAATTTTATCATCAATGCTTAGTTCTATATCTGGCAAATATAGATTTAAATGTATCCTCAAAATAAAACTTCAATAAAATGTGTTTTACAAAAAGAACTGAGATGTTTTTTTTTCTGCCGATATCACTTCTTTTCGAGCTTATTCGGACGTAATCCTTTTGGATACGATTAAATCAAAACCCTTTGCAAAGACCTTTGTAACAATAGTACAGCGAGCTTAACGTTCATCCGTTGGTCAATATCTTATAACCTTTCTAACAATAAACCTCCATACATTTAGCATTTAATGTAAACATGACTTGAGTTTGTGCTTCTTGAAAAAGCGCATCCATTGTAAAATAGTGTAAACACCGCAAAAGCACAAATGCTAGTTTCGATAAGTATCTTATAATTCAAGTGGCAATGATAAGAAAAGCTATCAAGTTTCCAGGGTAAGGATTGAATCGTGTTCATGTTTATATATAGGTGAAGTTTCGTCTATGTTTTTTTTCCACATGCGTACAGYCCGCGCGCGTATGGGTCGTGACTGGACCGTGTATATGTAACCAATCAAAACGTAGTGTCATTTTGAGTAAACACCATGAAACACCGCAACAAGTACGTTCAGTGAACTTAATACCTCACAAGAATAGAAAATCCACTGATAGTCTTCATTCTTAACGTACGTGCGTATTTGGGAGTTGTAGTTAAGAAGTGAAGTTRAATGTTTTTCTTGGGTTTTGTATGTCTCAGCAGGACTAGTGTGGCTCGGATCAGATGACCAGTGTTGACGCTATCGCAGTAGTGTGATGTTCCTTCTCTGAAACTGGCGCTGATTACTATCTTTCTCTTTCTTTAGGCTCACGAGTGATTAAAATCACAAAAAGATTTACCAAGGAAATCAAAGAGAAAAACAAGACAACTCAGTTGATCCTCCAAAAGCGCCAAGGCGGCTTACGATTCAATATTTCATAAGGAGAGAGTTGCATAGGGTATTAACACAACATGGATTATCGTCAAATTCTGATTTTTGTTTTATTTGTGAGTTCTACGAATGCAAGAAGAAATCGACTTCCTATACCAAAGTCACTCATCGTGGCAGATGCCACAGGCATTGATGTTATCCTCGATGCGGTTGAACTCATGAAGAAGACGAAAATATTCCGCAATGACCACCACTTGATCAAACGAATTGCTATTGTGGAGGCCTCGTACAATAGAACAGCCAATGATGGCGGCTTGTGGCAAGTTCAGAAGTGTGCCTTTCTTGGGGTTACTCAAAACCGCCGTAAATACAGAAAGTTGGCCGCTCTTCAAAAGCAAGTTCGACGGAGATTGGGGATTACCTGGTCTAAAGTACACCATTATGATCTTCGGCGTCCTCTCTACTCGGTCGTGGCTGCGCGATTGTATTTGGAAGTGATTCTTGATAGTTTTCCAAAGAAGTTGAGAAATCAAGCAAAGTTATGGAGCGCTAAGTATCACCGYTGYATTGAGAGCGGCAAAAACATACGCTCRCCACCACTGCAACGGTTACGCCGCAGCGAGGAAGTTTACATACGAGGTATTTTAACTTTTATACTTATATTCTATATATTATTTATACAAAAAGAACATTTTCAGAACAGTTGAAACAAGCATATTTGCGTTTTAATGATTAGATTAGAACATCAAATTCTAACAAGATTGCTGTATCACCATGCGATCCTTGCCGGAAATCCAATTTGAACTGAGTAGCTCTGCCGGCAATCCTGTTTTTATGCAGTGATACTAGGAAAGCTCGGAAAGTCGCCAGTCATTCGTATATTTCATATGGCGCTAGTGCTAATGATTCTATAATGATGAATTATCTTTGGAACGAATCAGTAGTATTTGACCGGAAACGTTGACTACACAGACGCGGGATATCGCTTACAACATATCGCAAAACAACTTTATGGCCATGAAACTTAAAGGAAATTAAGGATAACTGTTAGGTTTAGTGTAGAACCTTCCATAACGTTTATAGTAGCAGACATATATGTTAGACAAGTACACTGTTGAAAGAGCTAGAACTTAGAAAAAGAACGGGATTTCGTGTTTATGGACGTACGATTGACCTTGACCATCTTTAACCACTGTTCGTCACTAATCTRCTAGTTCTGCGCTATGCTTGACGTATGGAACTATTATCAAGGTTTAAAGGCTCACAGAATGAGTTTTATCTTTCGTTCCTTTCGCTGAGCAAGCACCACTCTTTCCGCCGTGTCTTGTTTGTTTACTGGGTTAATTTAATTAAACAATTAAGATGTCTATTCCTTTTTGATGCCGACTAATTGATTTTTATTGACTTCCTATTTAAGAAAAGAATGAATTTTAATCAGTCAAAAAAACATCAGAACAATAATTTATTAAAAATCAATTGGAAAGACGTTGTTTGCAGARCAGTCAGTAASTTCACGTATTTTACGTGTGCGCAGTACGCATGCGCACTTTGATGAGAGTCATTTCGAAATTCTTTTTGCGTCTGTGTAAGCATTGTGTTTATGAACAAACAGAAAACTTGTTCTTATTTMCTGTAAATGGCTTCACAAACACCGAGTATTTTATAAGACCTTTAAAGAAGGTCTTCATCTTTCTTGATCAGGATGCCATGATGTTGGTAGCCACTTCGCTTAATGTTTTTGATATCAAAGAGACCTCACATTTAGGTCTAAATGAACGCGTCAAAACGTMTTTGTAGGCTGTACGGTACTTGATTTGAAGGCCCTATTGCTTCCTGCTCTAATATTCAAGAGTATTGACGAGAGTTTTGACCATCGATAGTACACTTTATGCCGTACCCCTTGGTGGGCCTTCCACGTTACTCTATTCGTGTTTCCGGTTGTCATAATTCACAGTCTCTTGTTTCTACACAGCCTGRGGGTGGTTAAAATAGATACTATCAGGCCATACTACGTGATCTTTATTATCATCGTCRATATTCCGATAACTGATCTAGTGTAAATTGGTTATCATAAACCATAGAAACAATTGAGCTATTATAAAGATCGTTTGTTAAGTTCTATCATCTTCGTCATCATCACAATCATTATCATCATAAGTAAACTCGACTAAGCACCTTAACTGACTAAGATGGCACGATGTAGAAATGAGCATCCTCGGGAAACCATAACCTCTGGTTTTCCGAGGATACTAAATGGACAGTGTCATTAGGTGTTTCAAAATTACTATGCCTACTTTATCTGCAAGTTGACAGGGTGTATGTGTATTTATATATAACTTGTTTGAACAAATGACACTGGATGGTTTCTAATGTTTTTTTTCTCCCTGGTAGTTTCCGTTACGGTGCTTACGTCTTAACGTTAAAGTGTGTTTTTCTTTGAAGTCAGCAATTCGGAGAATGTTTTCAAAGTTGAAAACGCTTTCGTCAACAAGTTAAGAACGTAGATTTTGGAATGAACGAACTATGATCGCATGTTGATTGGTTAAGCACATGTTGATTTAAAGTCTCTCGGCCTGTTTGGCTGTCTGTCTATAGTCTAAAATATTTTCTGGAATTGTCCATCTATGAGGTCCRCATTCACGCAGTTATGYGTAATCTTYTAMATGCGGMAGGTTSKCCATTTKGGGTTTTATAACTTTCATAAACTCTRTAACTTGTTAGCACGATTTTTCACGCGTGCTGGAACGCTGATTATAAATAAACGGTCAGCAATCATTTTCCAATCAGTTATTGTCGCAGCCAATTATTTTTCGGTGAAGACCAAGAGGAATGTGGGCTAGATTTTATTCAGTTTCCAACCTTTTCTCTGAGCATGCGCGTTGTGTCAATATCCTGATGCTTGTAATTATCAGTTATCACAGAATACAGTGTTGTATTTAATCGATGTGATTGAATTTCACGTCTACATCGCAAGTTATCTATTTTTATTCCTGTACGAGTCGGTTTCATTACTATTGTCACTGTAAGTTGACTTTGGCGTAAAACAAACTCATCAAAAACGCAACTTGCGGCTTCTTTCTTCGGTAATGAATAGTGTGTTGCGTGATTTCATTAATCGAAGCTCTACGGGAGCGCAACTTATCGACGACACGAATTCAGCAAAACTATAAATGAATTTACTGTCCAAACTCACACGAAATTCACAGCAGTGATAAATTAGGAAGAGAAACGGTAGCATATTGTCAATACAGATACTGATCATGCAAAGAGATCAACTCATATTATACGCTCATTTCTTAATTATTGAGTCGTTATTGATAGTTTTGTGCACCCTAGATTTACAAAGATAGCAGTTTATGTAAATAATTGCGGAGTACGTGTAACGTGCGCTAGGTAAATGGTGCTTTAGTGGATTAATCTTATCATTGAATTTTGAAGCAACATGACGGCACCTTTCGTGGATTTATATCAAAGATCAATAAGTAGAAACAGTGTGTGTTTATTTTATGAGTAAGAGAAACCATACAAATCTCGGTTTTTGTTCTGTCAATGACTGCATCATTCGGTTGTGTGCAGCATATTGGCATTCTTTATTTAACGTTGTTGTGGCTTCGTCACACACCTACGCGACCAGGTAACTAGAGCGAAAAGAATTGTTATATAATAGTAAAATTTTCATCGATTGAACATAATGAGAGTGAAGACTAAAATTGATTCGGTAACCCACAAGCACTGACGCATTTACAAAAAGAACATTGGTGTAATGTAGAGTAAAGTCGTTAAAGTGTATTAAATAGTAAAAAAGACACAAAAGAAAACAATGCAGTGAGAGCGTACTAAGGTGTTTTAGTGTAAAATATTTTACAGGTTTTCTGGGTTAACTCTAACAAGGGATTTACACTGTTTTACCCAGTACGTATGCCGAGCGAACTTCCGTTATCGGAGGGGTGAACATCTTATGTGAACAAAATCATGTCCATCGGTACCGTGTTGGTAACTCAGTTCACACGTTAAATCTCACATGTGCTGATTGTTTGTTTCAGTTGTGAAAAGTTCGTGTAACAGTGGCTACAACAAGTGTCAGCATTTCTGCCATGAATTACCGCAAGGGAAAACAGCATGCAGTTGTCGAAAAGGATTCATATTGCATTCAGACGGCAAAACGTGCAAAGGTAATCATCTGTTTTATTTTGTTTGTCAATCTAATCTTCAAACATTATGCTCACTATCTTTGCTCTGATTGGCCAATACCAATGATACATTTCAAACTTCATCTCCAAGCCCATATTGTTGTATGTAGGTATTAACTCGTATCAAAATGTGCAGTCGCGAAAACATTTCTCTGATAGCTACCTCGAAAACATTGAGCTGAGAGAGAGTGTAGGGCGTGGCAAAATTTGTAGCCGGAGCAATGTTTCCTATAGTTTCATACATACGACAATACAGCGCGCAAATGTATCTTGGTTCAACCAGGTGTTTGGTCTTGAGTTTGAGCTAACAATAAAACACTTTGATTGTTTCTGATCTCACTATAACCACAACCAATAATTATTGATAAATACATACATTGTTATTGTTTTGTCAATAGTCCATATTGGAGTTGCCATTATAAGATCAAGCATTATTTTTGTCTATGTCTAACTTCAAGTTGAAATGAAGTTATATCTTGGTTTTTAAGTGTTTCCGAGACGGAGTTTTCTAACAAGACGACAGATCAAATATTTGCTTTGCACATAAGCAAAATTGTTCTCGAGTTTTTCTAGATTTGTGCTGAAGTAGTCATTCAGTTCACAGAATCATCTGTTGTCTAGATGAATGTTGTTTCAGTAAATGTCAAGATTGGGACCAAGTGTCTTGACCACGTAGAACTGACAAGTGTTGACATCAGTGATGTAACTGAGAACGACGGTGACTAAGCCTATGTCCCTGAAAGGAAGAAACGGAAACACGCTCAGCTTGAAAAAAATCTTGACTGATTCTATGTCAAGGATTACAGTCACATTAATCAGTATTTTCACGATTTCTGTGCAAATTCCGATAATACTTGTAGTTGTGATCAGTGAGTCAATACCATAATAATTAGAAGAAGAAAATGGAAGAGAATAGAAGGGAAAAGAAGAGTTAGAGGAAAACAGAAAAAAGGATAAGAAAAAAAGATTCAAACAGAAGAAAATGAAAAATGATCGTGAAAAAAAGAAACGGTTAGATATATATCAAAGCAGTAAAGATAATGCCTCAAATAGGATAACTATTTAATACATGTAATCTACTGTTGGGAGAGAGATTTAAAATCCCATCGCTCCCACAGTTTCGTACCTYGGGTTTCAACYTTGAGGTCAACTAGGATTTGGACTGAAATTCCTTCGTGTATTAACCTGGACAATATGGATTTAGACACAAGATAAAGATTGGGGTTTAGTACTCGTTAGATTACCACACATAACGAAGTAATTATAGAAGACTCTTCGTTTGACATAAGMCTTTGTTACTGATYCATTCGACAACAACGTTTGTCTGGACAAAGCAACTAGTTATTGAAATGTAGATKATAYGAGTGGGTTTTGCTTTGTTTACAGAAGCCAAAGGTCCAATTATTGTGCATCCTTTACCTATCCACTGCGAGATTAACTCCAATCAGTGTGAACATACTTGCTCCCGTGAAAGGGGTGTGGTCAAATGCACGTGTCGAGACGGTTTTGTTCTTCATGACAATGGCTTTAGTTGTGTTGGTAAGTTGCAGTTTTTATATTGTCCATCAATTAAATTCATTTTGTTTTCAGTCCTGTTCGTGATATCAAAGTTGTTCTCTTTTTCTCATTGTTTTATAGTGATTTCTCTTTGACTGTTTAATCTTAATTGCTTGAATTTGATAAATTCTTTAACTCACTCGGGCAATATATACATTATATACACTCTTGCTTAATACTTATTTTCATATTAATTCATTTTATTGATTGATTGATTGATTGATTAAATGATTGATTGATTGATCGATGATTAATTTGTTGATTGGCTGACATACTGAGTGACTGATTGACAGCTGACTGACTGACAGGCTGATTGACTGATATATAAGCAAATTGATTGATTGATTGATTGATTGACAGGCTGATTGACTGATAAGCAAATTGATTGATTGACAGGCCGATATATTGATTGATTTTTCAGATATCGACGAATGCGAGGACAGCCCATGCGATCACAAATGTCATAATACTCCAGGATCCTTTCACTGTTCGTGCAAGAAAGGTTACGAACTTCAACAAGACCTAACATCGTGTCAAAGTACGTGTAATGTATAAAAAGCTAACAACAAGACGATGCACTACTCGTTACTTGTAATATTTTTTCTTATCTATTTTTGTTTTTGCAGTTAAAAAGGAAAATTGCTCTATCAACGATATAGAATGTCTCGATCGCTGTGTCGACTGTCCATGTCCCACTGGATGGACAAGAAGAGACGGTCGTTGTATTGGTAAGCATTGAATACAAACTTCAACAAAAGTAACGAAACATTTTTCATTAATTTCATTCTTCATTCGTTACTACTAGACTAGTGCATGGCTATATAAATAATTATCGATTGCATGCTTTGCATGACATTCATTGCATGTGCTCTTCAGAAATAGACGAATGTTCCTTGTATAAAGGAGTTTGCCATCACAACTGCCTCAACACTCCAAAAGGATACCGCTGTGCATGCAGCGCGGGATTTGCTTTGGATGAGAACGGCATATCCTGTTCAGGTCTGTACTACGCATGCGTGACGCAAGTATTATGTACTGCAGGCTCAGATCAATATTTTTAAGATTAAAATGAGATAAGATAAAATGAAATGAAAAAGCTTTCTTTTAAAATAAATGCGTTAAAAAGACCAATATAAAATGAACAACGTCCACAACGCAACACCGTGTATTATAATATCTCTAATTCACTATGATGTTACACCGAAATATTCTATTAAGAATTATAGTCGCCAGGGGGGACTGAAACAACACAACGACCAAAACACGATGAAACAGAATACAGTGAACAGGAAAAAAACGAATGACATTAAGACACTATAAATAAAGTCAAACAATCATTGACTCATRATACATTTTAAAACTAGAAAACCAGAAGTCAACTTTTGAAGGTCTTGAAGAAAAAGAAGATTTAGTACAAAATTGTTTTGGGCGATTCTGTTCCCATGTAAAACAAGCTGTGACGTCATAGTGAAAGAAAGTCATCAACGGTTGCAATTCTAACACCAGTTGTGTTTTTTTAGACAAAGACGAATGTCAGACAGGGTCCCATGGATGTCACCATCATTGTCGTAACATTCCAGGAAGCTATTTCTGCTCATGCGCCAAGGGATACCGATTAAACTTTGACCTCAAAACATGTGTTGGTAAGTAAGGCTGGCTTACCTGCCTGGAAACCGTGATAATTAACAAATGCGTGTTTGATTTTGCAGATATTGACGAGTGCGCGTTGTATTATGGGATATGCAAGGGTTCGTCAAAGTGCCGGAACACGCTCGGTGGATTCAAATGTGAATGTCCGACTGGWTTTGTCAGCCACAGTCAGAATGTTTGTATAGGTAGGTTAACAATAAATAAAACTTCCAGTAGTCATTAACCTTTAGTTACAAGTATGTATGAATCGATAATTGTAGAAACCCTGTTTAGGAGTGATTTTAATGTGATTTTTCGAAAGACAAAACTATTGCGAAAACAAGGCTTGGTCGTAGACGGGAAAAAATGCCTAAAAGTCGCAGATTCGACTGAAGTCATACTCAATCCAATATTGTCGAATTTAATTGATTTATACGCCGCATCTCACATGCATTTAATTCGTGAATTGTATTCGGCACAAGTGAAGTTCGGCGTATAGCGCGGGCCTAAGGAGAACGCTTCTTTAATCTTCCAAACTTATTGTAAAAATCAAATTCTGAATAAGTTACCATCGCATTATTTTTTCAGATGATGACGAGTGTTTAATTAATAACGGTGGTTGTAGTCAGCGATGTCAAAATCTCCCAGGAAGCTACCGCTGTTCTTGCTGGTTTGGATACACTCTCATGCCAGACAGAAGAACTTGTCAAGGTACAGCGTTAAAAACTAAAGAACCTGTAAAACACACACACACGCTTCAAATGGAGCAGCTTATTCTTCCCCGCTTTCTCCATCTTCCCGCATAAATGTTAAAACCAACACTCCTAATAATCATCATCATCATCATCATCACAATCATCATCATCATGATCATCATAGACTTAGTTTTGGTTTTGATTTGGTACCTATAGATATCGATGAATGCCAACGATTCCCTGGCTTATGTCATCATAAGTGCACCAATACCCCTGGTGGATTCCAGTGCTCATGTCCCCCTAATCAGGTACAACATGCTAATGGATTACTGTGCCTCCCAGCTGTCTGACCACACCCACGTTAACATACAACCCACAGACGCCTGGGACCAAGTGTTATTGTTCGATATGGGGACTGACAGAGCCTCGTGATCTTATTGTAATTTAATTTATTCTTCAATCTTCTGTCAAGATGGCGTTTGCCTTGAGATCAGTGCCTTATGACCATGATATTAAAARCATTAATGTTTGTGCRTATACGACGTTYAAAGACATGGTTGATCACGAAGTAMWGCACAGTATTACTTACTAGTAATTAGTGTACATAGGACTTAAAATCAATGTTGGCGTTTGGAAATGAACTGCCGTTAACTGTAAAGGGTTCTTATGGAAAYCGTAACTATGGTAACATAACCATGATAACATGCTGGACGGAACAATTGAATTGTGAGTAATTTAAGCATATGAAGAGCTTGCGTCCTTTTGGAAGCAAATGGCGSCCACCGACAAACTGGTTCATTAAGCAATGAGAGAGTGTCTGTATAAAGCAGGATAATGTTGTAGACTGGCTGATATATATATATATATTGAGATATTAATCACAACAATTTCAGGMCATAATACTCCAGAAGCATCGAATGGCCATCGAAAACTGTTAGCAAGATCAGCCTTACTTCAATCGCTTCAGAGACTGAATCTTCATCACGTATTTATGACTAGAATGTATAATAGTTTTAAGCAAGCTACTTTTAGGCGTACAATCAGGGTCAGACACCATCATAAACATTACAATGAGCAGCTAAATATACATTTGAGATACTGGTWTGTCAAAASGTTTGTTGATGAGATTGGCGAATATYCCACWACCGAAAGGAACGATGGGTTTTGCATGGTCACCATTGTCAGTCATCCATTCTTTCATTTTATTTGACATTTCCCACTCTCAAGCTATATACCTATTTGAAAAACATCGTACAGATAGGGGAATCCACGACCGAAAGGTACTGTGGGTATTGATGTCAATCATGTTGTCACTCCATTGATCAAAGATATTTGATGCTGTTTTTAGCGTGTTCTTGTGTTTTAGCACCTTATTGTGATTAATATGAATCAAACAATTACTGAGACCCACAGTATCTTTCGGTCGCTTAATCGCTATTCCACCCGACAATCGTTTTCAATGAAATACCTGGGACGCCTTGAAATAGTTGATATTTTACTGAACAAGTAGATTACACTTATGTGGAGAGTTTCGTTTGGGTCAAAAGAGACACAAGGCTAATAATTTATATGACAGAGAAATAATTAATCGTTATTCTAGTTTGACATTTTATTAATGATTTAAAATTTACTCGACGCGATGAGTCAATTTGTGATTCATCTAAAAATTATATAAATTTGACTGAATCATGTCGCAAATATACCTCGACCCAAGGTTTACCGGCTTAATAAATAGTCACAAAATGAGATAAATTTGTATTTGTTGCATGGTTTTATGTTCATTTGATATTATAACGCTGTTGAACTAGATAACTTTTTTAAAAGCCTTAAAAAACCATATTATTCTGAAAAATGAAAGCAAACAAAAAAACATAACAAAAGTGTAGTATAGAAGTAGCTTCACTGACGAGACATTTGTTTCACGATACTGTCCTTTAATTCTTAATAGTTCCTACACAAGACAATTTTTCATGCAAAGTTCCTGTATTAATACGTTGAACCTTATCTTGTTTAAAATGGTGAGCCGTATTAAAAAAATATCGTCGCAAAAAAATCGTATCATTTTAACTTTGCATTACAAAGTGACGTACCTCACCCTCGAAATGATTTGCTCAAGAAGTAATTTAGACATGTGATCCCCTGATAAAATAGCTTGCTTAATTTGGCCAGGACCTGGGYCCAACTCTTCAATCCAGAAGGATCCAGGCCCCRATTGAGTAATACGATCATYTCAGGATAAAAATGAACTGCAATTAGAAAGCAGTTGATTGAGCTGCAGGAAACTTGTTAGACGATAATCGGAGCAAAGTAGCGATGAACCGATTAGCGGCACTTTGTTGTCTTAAAAAAAAACTATAAATCTTGTTTGAATCTCTTCAATCAGACCGATAATTTACTTCCAATTGCCCATCGGGTGTATTTAGATTTCCTTAAGATCTACTGATTTGAGATGTGAAAACTCTGGTCTATTACATGTAAAGTGCACTCACTTTGGGCAGAATGTTTATTGAAACAGGTGCTCAATAAGCATGCGTGGAAAGCTTTGACAATTTRAAAGAAAACAATTGAAATCTGTTGTCGACAAGCAAAGAAGCATGGCTTTCGAATTAGGTTTATTTGGTCAAYAATTTCCAAAAGTAATTTCTCCCATTATTTTTTGCTAACGTCCGTTTTATACTCCGCATCTTACATGCGCCGAAATCGATCCAACTCTGTCAGATATATGAATTTCATTTTTACTGATTTTGGCACACACGGAAATTTAACGACGAAGGGGGATGTGACCCCCAAACACCATCCTGCATTGCTTAGGGGGGGGGGGGGGGGGTCTAACATTGGCTCTTTTGTGAGCATGTGCCTTTTTAAGGTCCAACATCATTCCAAYAGGGCGGCCAAACGACTAAACGTTTGCTTCGCCCTATATTATGCATTGCTGCAGTGTTAGATGATCAGCCGATTTCATATGTGACCGACCTTTAAGAGGTTCTTTACATGTTTTCGTTTCAAAGTGGCCAAATGAGCTTTTAGTGATAAGAATGAYGAATTTAAGCTCCTAAGTGAGTAGTTTTAGCTGAAAAGGGCTAATAGCAGATGACAGTTTTAGAAGTATATAGACATAATCATGTCATTAGGCTCAATATCGAYTCCATGAATAGCTTGAAGGGCATGAAGAAAAAACATGTACAAAAAGRAAAAATTGCCTCAAAAACAAGCTACTAGAACAAGAAGCAATAGATCAATTAWACGGACATAKAGGCGTAACAAATTTATACTCTTTTCGTTATCAGAAAATCGAATTYRTTCAATTATCGGTTGTCGCTTGGTTGACATAAGTAGATTTAAAGTTCTTTATTTCAAGATTGACGAGTTTTGGAAGACACTCCCATTTCACCAGCTCCTTCTGTTATAGCCCGTAGGYCTTAGTCCCAATATTTGCCATTTGCCTACCCTGTTTTAAGAGTTTGGTATTTATTAGGTTCCCCAGGAGGTATATTTTCTTTCGATCCTAGCCAACAGTGCCATGATGTGAAGTTAGATGGCCGCGCTTTTAGTCTAGAACTTGACTTGCTTTATTGAATCTTGACACACCAAACTCGTTAATTGCTCAAATGGCGTTTGTCCCTTCATATTATATTCCCCGTCTGTTCGTTTAGTGTGAAACCATTACAAGATAAGATATGATTTAAAATGGATTTAATTGTAGCATTGCTGTCATTTTCTTCGTAATAAGTGACAAAGTATYTATACACCATTCAAGCGGTGATTGTCATAAGGACAAATCATGTTAGCAAAAAGGAAATTAAAAATATAACATTSTGTTAAAGCTGTTAGTTTTAGAGCGCCGACATCAGTCCTTTAATTACATCAAAGTTTCTTCAATATCAACCGGGTATTATCTGCCGGAAAATCATGGTCTTGACGCACTCGTTGTCATCCTCTCGTAGTGATGCACATATGAGTTCGTATCTACAGAGTGCCATCCAAAAATATACGTCTWAAGTAACATTTATTTTTACCGCTTGTCATTCTTATCTAACCTATAATCTATTGCAATAATGTGGTATTATTTGAAAAGGTGAAATAATTTGTGATATGGGCGGAGAAGGAGTTCATTAAATTGCACARGAAGATGTTGCAAGCCAGTGAACTAACTCAATTTTTGTCTAGTGTACGGAGAGTTTCCTAATAATCCGTCCATATGACATCTTTTTGCATTAAGGTGTAATTCTGTTGCTTCTAAGATATGCAATTTTTTCAACATTCAGCCAAGTTATACTACTATCGTTCGAGTATATAGTTCCGTGGCCATTATTCAACAACTAAGAATAACAGTTATAGCACACCAAAACCAATTAACGATGTGTGTAGCTCGCTACTTGAAAAAAATTGAAATCAAGTATTATGCCTTCACTTTCCTCACTTTGAATCATTGAGTCTCAAYAGATTTGAATGCTCTCAAATTCCTTCGTTYTAAGTACRTAAAATTGGTTGCTGGCACGAAATAGTCCCAGCGATAATAAAAGARCCAACCATTTTATAATCAATGCAATCCATGATTATTAAATTATTAAATCTGTTTTTATTGKTGTATTCTTATCATTGACACAATAACATTTTCTTATCAGTTTGCACAATGCGCTATTTAGTATTATGACTTTCCCCGTTTCATGCTATTTTCTACATGCCTATAATTAACAAATCAATATATCGGAATCAAAACATCGCATGCAGATGCTCAGTCTCATCGGGAGTAATCTACAGCAGAAAGTTCAAACGAAGAATTATTTTGAGTCTCGAGGAACGTTTTACTCGACCGCTGCCTGCTGTATGCTGATGATCCTTCCGCTGAGAAGGCGGCACGTTGGGCAAAGCAAAATAATTCTCCGAATCCTTTACGAAAGTTTTCGCTAAACATAAAGCAGATACAAGGATTTAACACTGTGTACAATAGAACCAATGTTTCGGCCGCGAACCAAAGACTTGACCAGTACAGAGGTGCGCAGATTGAGGAAGACCATTTCCAGACAAAGGCAACAACCAGGTACATCGCACTGRCWGGAAAATTGCAAACTGCAAAAGACACGACAATAGTGGCAGAGAGCTTTATGACTTTAAGGTCGTATTTCTGAGGYCTGTTCTTCAAACTGGGGTGTGAAGCATGCTTACTTTTCTTGATCTCCTTGATCATGATGGAGTAGAGRACGATGACGAGAAGCCATGGAAGCACTCCAAAGATGCTAATCACAAAGATAGCATGCATTGTCATTGCCTTTGAATGTTCCAGATTTGCCAAACCCCAGTCAACTTGGCAAAAGGGATTGCCATTATATGTAGACATCTTCACAATGTACAGGTACGGAGACGCGTACCCCAAGGCAACGACCCATGTCAGGATAATAGCGCCTTTACGGATTCTGCTGGTTATCAAGCTYCGATTAAGCGGCATTACTACGGCGCAAAAACGATCGATTGCCAGGCAYACCATGCTTGATATAGACGCTATTAAAGCTGTATCGACACAAATGAAAACAATCTTGCATAATGCTAGCCCGGCTTCCCCCTGAACTCGCCACTGGAACGACCGTGTTACAATCGGAACWAGGCGATGAGGGATCGCAAACATTGCTAAAAGGCAATCAGCGGTCGCCATGTTCACAAGCAAAAAGTTCACTGCTTTTTTCAGGGACTTTGTTTTCAGCACGATTATTATGATGCTCATGTTGCCGACCAAAGCAGCCAGCATTATGATGCACAAGATGGCTGTTTTCACTGCAATAACAGATCTTCCGTCCGGCTCGGGTCGAATGCAATAGTGCATAGCAGGAAACGACGAATTGGTGGTGTTTGCAATGGAAGSATTTTGAACGGWCAACAAAGTGTCGTTGCTAAGTCTTATCGSTGMAGAAGACATCATGTTCGACTAAGGAATAACCTCACAAAAAAGCTGCGTCACCTACAAGATTGTTACAAAGATAGTCTTAGCAATAAATAGTAGTCCCGCTCTATGAATGGTCGCTAATCTAGCTGTAAATACCTTATGATAAAAGCATAAATTAGACATCGTAAAAAGATAGTGCTCAGGGCAATCTTATTTTATTCTAATTCTGAATAGTAAAAAAGCCTCTAACTGCTGTGTACTTACAAAAAAAAATCACTAAAATGCTTTACAAACCTGGTAGGGCAGTGCTGAATACCAGCGTCTTTTGGGCTCAGAAGTATTTGCCTAGAATTTCAAATGATCAAGTATTAATCGAACGCATAGGATTACATTTTCTTATAAAGCGAATATCAGAAGTCACATCTGCTACGCATGCGTCATTTCAATTGACCAATCATCTTTGTGACGCACTATTGAAAGTGTTAATTTGACACGAAACTGAAAACTCTCTTATATTTGTCTGAACATGACGTTGGACGTTTTATAAATTTTGTTGATTTCTTATGCTGAAAAATATCCGACCACTAATTACTTTGAGAGAAATAACTTGAATACATCATCGATTTTGAACGATGTCTGACTGAAGACATGATGTCTCATTTATCACCTGCATGTTCTGTTTTTGATTTAAAGAGTAAAAGAGAAATGACTAGTCTCTGGAAAAAAAAAACTAAATAAAATGACGATTTGATTCATTTTTCTTTGTTAGCTATTTATTGAATAGTTCCAAWAAAGGGGAAAGTATGGAAGGTGGACCGAGTTTAATTTTGCGCTGTTAAAAACTGCCCTGGTTTGCATGCCAAAGTTTGAACTATTTATTAACTCAATGCTCATATGATTGACAAACTTATATCACAGGCCGCCCAAGCTGCTGACTGATTGTGGGTTATATATAAAGCCTCTACATCAATATACTATAAATTGTTCTTGGAGCTGTTTTAGATATTCCTCTTTTTTATTTTTTAGCTGATATTGATGCAGAGAATTCAAAATCAGCAACCATTCTCCAGCTTGGGCTTCCTGTACTAAAGTCAAATCTGTTCAAAATGATCATAATCGCCAAAAGATAGAAGCTAACGAGTGTCACGGAAGAAAACTCCTTCGCGTTCGCGCTTCTRCWATGTAGGACTACCCCAAGTTTTATTCAAACAAAAATCGTTTGTTACTTAAATGTGGGATAATAATCAGTGACGTCATATGACATTAGCGTTACTTAGTGTGACGCATGTCGGTTCGGTGCATTTAAGAAGATGAAAATTCTTTCGTTATGAAAATGAAGCACTTGAGCGGTATCATTGAAAACCATCTGATCTGACACTGGAGGAAACGGATCTCTGAATCAGGATATTGAGAAAAATACGGAGATCGAAGGAAATACTTTCTTAACGGTCTAGTAAATACCGCTCACCAAATTATGCATATAGCCACATTCATCCAGCGAGGCGTCTTCAGAGTCACCCTTCCGAGCAATCAACCGTATGCGATAAATGCGATAAGCAAATTTCAAAGAAAACCGAATTTTTCCTTTCTATAACATATGGAAATGGCGAGCAAAATACTAACGAATCTACTGGATAACTCATGGATTTCAACTCAGGGGAATTTTTTTTAAAAACAAAAGTTGTGCACCTCGCTTCTGTGATGTGACGAGTGTTTCTATATTTAGCAAATAAAACAAGTAATCCGATTGGGTCMRTCATGTTAAACCAATCAAAATGGGTTTTATATTCTGGAGAAGAAGATTGCACCAACAACAAGAAATTTCTGCAGTGAACTCAATAAAAGGAGACTCCAAATGAAAGCGAATACTAACTTAAGGAAAGCTCAGCGGAGCTTAACTAGAAGCGACGAAGACTCGAGATATCATGGGTTGGAAAGGACAAGGAAAAAGAGGCATCCATAGTGGACGTACACTCCGTCGAAATGCAAGCGACGGATGGCTGAGGCGAGAGCTGGAGGGTGTACTAGTCAAGTACAAAGAGAATACTGCTGCAGTTCCAAATTCCGTCACAGAATCACTACTTCAAGACCGCTATGGTTTAACAGATGGATTGGAAATGGGCTACATACCAAATCGATCCAATAATACTGGAGTGGAGTTCTCTCTTGGTAAAAGAAAGAGATGGCTCCTTCGTGACCTTGTGAAGGAGCGACTCGAAGAAGAAGTCGAGTATGAAAGCGACGAAGAATTTGAAGAATCAAAAGATCTTCATATCTGCTTTCACGAAAGGCATATTTTTAATGACTGCAAGAGAACAAGAGCAGATTGTGTCTCGGTTTACAGCGATAAAGATGGACAAATCCATTCCAAGCATAAGTACTCGTATTTCAGCGACTTAAGACATAAAGGCATTGACGCAAAACCACCAGAGATTGGTTATGAAATATGTAATCGCCCTTTGCCTACTTCCTGGCCAAACTATAGAGAAGATCAAGCGACGAGCTATACCAGATACTGGGATCTTCAGGGAGAGAAATCAAAGGCCAAATGCAAGGGAAGGAGGAATAAAGGAAACCGGTTTGGATTCAGCAAAGATGATTGTGAATTCAAACTTCCAACTAATAAGCGAGTGCATTCAAATCCTCAAGATTGCAAAGTCAAAGTTATCACCAAAGACGACTTTCAATTTGCTACCAAGAACATGAACACTTCAAGCAAAAATAAAACATTGTTCAATCTTGAAGACTTCACAGAGGCTGCAGTGAAAGTGAACAATGAAAAACCTTCATGTTTCTCTTCCACTTTTCAGAAGTATGGCAAAGGGTGTGCAATATTTGTTGAAAATGATCCAGTGAAAGCAGTACTACCTAACATCACAAAGGAGGTTCAGCAAAAGAGTTTTATTGGTGCTCAACATAAAGTCAACATCAAGATGGACGCTCAGGACATTGMACCTTCAAGGCTTTCTTGTGAATGGAGTGACAACTACAAGGAAGGGAAAACATCACCAAGGAAATTTGCCATCAACATTACTCCCCTTTTACCCAACAGCAAGGTAAAGGCCAACAGCAT